TGCAGAGCCATGATTCAAGTACAGTGCAGCCGAGTGGTATCAGGGACAAGGGACTATCCGGTCTCCGAGACAGTTTTTCAGTCTTGCAACAGAACAGTTCTACCAACCTTTCATTTGGAAAATGGGCGGAGTTGTATTCCCGATTGTCTTCACCGCAGTTTTGGGAATACTGTACGGCCAGTTCAGAGTGGAAATCGACCAAGATAGGGTCCAAGGCAGTGACTACATCGCCAAAGCCATTAAGCTCGGCGGGGTCGCCATCGCACCCCCAGGGGGAGGTAGACGTTTCAACTTTTTTACCTCAAGACACTCAAACATCGGATTCCCAGGCCACCACCAGGAACATCAAGGTTGCAAGACGTTGTGTGAGGCAGCCCAAGAGGGAGAAGATTGACTTCATGTCGTTTAGATAAGCAGCCAGGCTAGCCAAGAAAACAGATCAGCCGATGTTTCTGGGAATGATCAGAGCCACATGTTCCCAGATACCTGCGAAGAAGCCTAAAAACAAGTCCAAGTCCAGGGCAGGCGGAGCACATGGAATGACAGAAGGTGAGAAGCGCCGGTTATCGAAAGAGACTGGCCCCATCAAAGTGGATCTTCCGGTGACAGAGATAATGAAGATGAAGATAGCCGAGGCCGAGACAGCAGTGCAACAGCAACTCAAGGCTACATTGGAGGAGTTTCAGGATGTGTTCCCGGACAAGCTTCCCTATGGGCCACCACCAAAATGACAGATAGACCATGAAATTGATATGGTGCCCGGGGAAGCCCCTCCGCATAAGAGCCCCTACAAGCTTAGTCCAGTTGAGATGGACAAGCTTAAGAGACAGATAGAGACGCTGCTGGAGCAGGGCTGGATATGGCCAAGTTCAAGCCCGTATGGATCGCCTATACTTTTCATCCCTAAAAAGGATGGAAAGTGGCGTATGTGTATTGACTACAGGGCCTTGAACCGCATCACCGTGAAGAACCGCTATCCACTACCGAAGGTCGAGGAACTTATGGACAGACTACATGGGGCGCGTTACTTCACCAAGATCGACCTCTACTCAGGGTACCACCAGATCCGAGTACGAGAGTCTGACATCGAGAAGACCGCCTTTGTCAGTAGATACGGTTCTTTTGAGTACCTCGTCATGCCTTTCGGCCTGTGCAACGCCCCAGCCACTTTTCAGAGGATAATGAATACGATTCTACGAGATGGGCTGGACAAATTCGTTTTAGCATTCCTCGACGACATTTTGGTGTACAGTCGAACCAAAGAGGAACATATACTGTATATGTTGTAACAACATCTTCGCAGTATTTTGAGCCGCCTACGGTCAGAGAAGTTCTACGGGAGACTGGCAAAGTGTGACTTCTTTCGTACCGAGGTGGAGTATTTGGGATTTGATGTGGAGGTATATGGGATAAAACCCTCACTGTCAAAAATTCGTGCTATCGCTGATTGGCCAACGCCTGAATCAGTTCGCGATGTACGTTCGTTTGTGGGACTGGCAAATTTTTACAGAAAATTTATCCGGTGGTTTAGTGAGATAGCCAGTCCATTGGCGGACCTCACAAAAAAAGATCGCAAGTTTGAATGGGGCCCAAAAGAGGAAGAAGCCTTTGAAAGGCTAAAGACAGCATTAGTGTCTGCACCTGTTTTGCAATTACCTGATTTTGATTGTGAGTTTACAGTGACCACCGATGCGTCAGAGGTCTCTGTAGGGGGTATATTGCAACAGAACTTCGGTCAGGGGTTACAGCCGGTGGCATATGAGAGTAGGAAGCTGAACCCGACAGAGTGCAGATACAGCGCGTATGAACGCAAAATGCTGGGGATCGTTTGGGCAGTTGGCAAGTGGAGACACTACCTTGCTGGCCAGCATTTTGTGATTCAAACTGACCATGACTCCCCCAAGAACCTTCCAAACCAGCCCTCAGTGAATCGCAGGGTCTGGAAGTGGATACAGTTGCTACAGGGCTACGATTGTGATATTGTACACATCGCAGGCAAGGTCAACCCTGCAGACTACCTATCCAGGTGCAGCGTGAAAGAGCTACAAAGCATGGTGGACATTAGAGCGCATGAGGAGTCGATGGTCCAGCGATTGAGATTGGGTGATGAGGAAGTTACAGACAATCACATCCAGGACAAGTTGGATCAGGTGTTCAAGGGAACAGAGGTATCGAGAGCGGGAACAATTGCAAGTGAGTGTCATTCTGCATTGTTTGTGACGAGATCAAGAATTTCATTGGATTCATCTATGTGGGACAAGATCAAAGATACATATGAGAGTGATTCCCGGTGGGCTGACATTGTTACTGAGTTGAAGTCAGACCCACAAAAAAATCTGGTCAAGAGAGGAGTTAAGGAATTCAGAATTTCTCATGATTGCTTGGAGATTCATGATCGTGAAGGACCAGAAGGAGCAAATAGATGGAGATTGGTTATTCCTGATATCCCTGAGGTTAAGCAGCAAATCATGGAGGAGGTACATTCGGTGCCTTACTCAGGACATGTGGGATATCAGAAGACTTTGAAAAAACTACAGCAGAACTTTTGCTGGCCGGATCACACATTGGACATCAGGGAATTCGTGACCAGCTGTTCAGTGTGTCAATCAGAGAAAAGTGTGCATCGCCAACCAGCAGGACTTCTTCAGCCACTGCAGCTACCAGAACAGAAGTGGGCAGATATCAGTTTGGATTTCATCATGGGACTGCCCAAGTCAGAATCTGGACGAGATGGGATCCTCACAGTTGTGGACCGGGCTACCAAGATGGTACATCTTATTCCGGTGTACCAGACCATCACAGCTGCAGAGACAGCCCAGGTTTACTAGAACTACATGGGGAAACTACACGGGATTCCGAGATCAGTTGTCAGCGACAGGGATCCAAGGTTCGTCTCCAGGTTTTGGCAGGAATTCTGGAGGTTGTTGGGAAGCAAGCTGAGGATGTCAACAATGCACCACCCACAAACCGACGGACAGACAGAGGCTGTCAATCGGGTGGTGGAGATGACATTGCGCTGCACACTACACGCGAGTCAAGAGCCCCACCAGTGGGAGAAATATCTCTCAATGGCAGAATTCACCATCAACAACACTCCGTCAACGGCAACCGGGTACACGCCATTCTACCTGAACTATGGCTACCACCCGTGTACCCCGGCAGAACTTATTCGAGACGTTGACACCACCTTCCATGAGGGAGTCAACATTTTTGTGTCTCGAATGTAGAAGATCTTCACCAAGGCTCATCAGCATCTGCGCAGAGCTCAGGACAGGCAGAAGAACTATGCAGATCAGAGATGACGTGAGCAGGTGTTCCATACAGGTGACCAGAGTGCTACTCAGTACAGAGAATTTACAGCTCAAGAATGCACTTGTACGCAAGCTGAAGCGCAGGTTCATTGAACCTTTCTTCATTACTCAGAGGATTGGACCTGTTGCATACGAATTGGATCTACCATCTACGTGGAGGATTCATCCCGTATTCCACACGAGCTTGCTACGCCCCTTCAGGACATCGCAGTGGACTACGTCTACTGAACCTGCAGTGGGAGAGCTGGAGCCAGAGGAGGATGAGCCTTATGATGTGGAGAAGTTGTTGAGATGGCGGTGGCGAGGACCAAGCAGTCAACGACAAAAGGAGTTCCTTGTGTTGTGGACAGGCTGGTCTCTTGACGATGCGACATGGATCCCGGCAGAAAACTTCATAAGCGCCAGAGAATTAGAGAAGATGATCCGACAAAACAAGCCCACAGAGGACCAGAGACCGCCGACAGACGATTGATTGGTTTTCGAGGTCGAAAACTACCCCCAGGGGGAGGTAGTTGTTGTGTAAACATTGTCTTTGGTTCTTTATACGAGCGGAGTGAGATGCGACGCAAAGGCGCGCGGACCAATTATCCGCGCCTTGGGTGAGCATCGAGCGCAGCGAGGCGATTTGGGGATTTTGGCCATTTTCGGGTCATATCGCTGCATTAGAAAGAGGGCTTCGGGGACGGGCTGGGTGCTTGTGGGGACGGTGGTTTAAGTACAGGGTGACATGAGGGTTATGTAACCATGTTGTATGCCGCGGGGACAAGACGCTATGAACCCTGTAACGTACATCCGTTTTGCTGTCACTGCCTGCCTACGAACCGCGCGCAAGGCAACACCGGACCCAATCCGCCCTTCCGACTGACGCACCGCAGAGGCCGTTCCGCCAAGGGGCCCACCACGTCCGCGCCGCGTCGAGATCGAGCAAGCGACCGTGCCGATTACGCCTGGCCATCCGCCGGAGGGATCGTCGATCCATCGCACGGGGCGCGCGCGGAAAAACCACGCGCCAGAACTCCTCAGCCTTATGGGATGAAATCACAAAAACCTTGTGCAGTTCGGGCAATGAACAACGATAGGCGAGCCGTGCCCGCTCGCACTGGTTCTGTGACCCACGTTATCCGTGGACAGGCTGTCAGGGCCACGGCTCCGGCATCCTTGAGTTGGGCTCGAGGGGCAGCTAGGTCCACGCCCGCCGCAGAATATGTTAGTCCCTCTGTTTTTTCTGTGAGGGTCCCTTCTTCTTCCACTGACAAGGCCAACGGCGGTCAGTGTGTCAGTGGTTTAGGGCTTAGGATGCCCGAAACAAGATGGGATCTTCACGGAAGACGGAGGGACTAATTACATGCCGCACAGCGCACAGTGGCCTCAGGGTCCGGCGCGGTAACGCCCTCTGGGACCGCCCGAAAGAACCTCCGCAGGGCCGCTGTTTTGGGGGGGCTGTGGGGAGGGCAAGCGCATTGCGCCGTGTGACGTGGCATCCCGAACCACCCGTGTCGCCTCAACACCTGTCGCACCCTTGGGCGCCTGCCGCCCGGTCTAAGGCGCCCAGCGGCGCGGCCGTCCCGACACTCGCCCCACGACCGCCGCGCCAGCGCCCCCCGCTGCATCCAGGCCTCTGGTGGGTCAGAGGCGCCTCGGCGGCAACCCCCGCCCCCAAATCATCCGCCACCGATCCCAACGGGGAGGATGCGCCCTGAGCCACTCTGGACGCATAGGAGCTCGGGCCGCCGGCGCTGGCCGGGCGCCTGCCTGCGGCTGCTGCTGTGCCTGGCGTGCCTGCTGGCTCGCGGGTGCAGGGGGAGGCCCCACAGCGACGTGGTGGTGCTGACGGACGAGAATTTCGACCAGAAGACGTCCGAAGGGACGTGGTTCGTGGAGATTTTCGCGCCATGGTGAGGGGCCGCGGTTGGGGCGTCGCCCGCCCGAGGCGCCTGGCGAACTGATCTGCGTTGCGGTGGAGATTTGTGCAATCTGGGTTGACTATGCATGTGGCGGTGGTGGCTGCGCCATCGGGGAAGGCGGTGTGGGGAATCCGACGCGCCGAGGCTGTGGCAGGCCCCTGTTTCAGAGTTGGAGTCATGAGTTCGTTGGCTTGTGCAGAATATTTCGGGGCGGGCTTCGTATTTTGCTGCTCATCTGACGCCGAGACAGTTTAAACAGCTCGGTTGCTTTCGTCGAGGGCGCCGTTGTAGTGTGGATGGGTCTGAGAATCGTATCCAGTTTAGGATAATGTCTTAGAGATTGCAATGCACAGATCTACGGGAAAAAATGGATGAAAATTGGCTTTAGAGTCAACAAATTATGGTTCTGTGGCATGTCTCTGTTGCTGTTGTGTGCATAGATTTGGCACGTGCATCAATTGAATTGTGTCCAGAGAGTTCCCTTCATACCGGGTTCGCTGACTTTATGAAGCTTCCGCCAGCATCTGATCCATGCTTGCAATAACCACTGATAATGGCGGCTTCTGCCTGACTGGCACGGCGACTTGTAACAGGTGCTCTCACTGCCGCAAAATCGAGGAGGTTTGGCAGGACTTGGCCACGAGACTGAAGAAGGAAGGTATAAATGTGGGCAAGGTAAGAAAGGGGAATGCCTCATCAGTGGCTGAGGGCTGTGCATGTGTGAGTTGCTTGAAAGAAGGCATTTGAAACCATACATTCACACCCTTCCAAACATGGAAGCGACTCTGGACAACGTCAAGAGCCTCCAAGCGTCTCAAGCAACGTTTGCTGGGTTGTACGTTTCCTCTTTGTTATGGAGCACGGACATGTCGCACTTTGGATCGCTTTGCAATAGGAGCCATTGACTGTCACATGTTTCGCTCTTGCAACCCTATTTGTGATGTGGACTTGCCAAAGGACAAAATGCAGCATATGGCTGGGTACGATTAGTTGGTAAATCAGCATCTGTGCTCTGGGGGAAAGCAAGTGAAGAGAAGTAAAATGAGAGAGTGTCTGCTGTCTTGACTGGCCTGAAATGGATTTAGCACCAGAGACTGCCACTTTGGAAGGAAACCTGCACATGTGTGCAGTCACACAACATGGCTTTTCCAGATGCCCCCACATTTGCATTGCCATCCCATAGCAAACGGCCCACTTCCTCTCTGTTGCCAGTAACAGACGTGCTCAGAAATCGTCAGGCTGTTGTGTTGTGTTTGCAAACTGGCATCCAAGGCTACAATGGGCACCCCCTAACTGTCTGAATCTGCTGCCTCCTTCGCCACTTTTGACAAGGGAGAATCATTGTAAGGATGTACATGCCTTAATCTGCATGTGGATGGTGAAATTGTCAGAATGGAGAGTGTGGGTGGCATGTGCGTGTGTGCAGCCAAGACGTGTGGCCCGACAAAGTTGAAAATAGCCTTTCTTCCAAGTTCAAGTGGATTGACTTTGGTGTTCTGTTGTCCTAAGATCGATGGTACCAGGGAAAACACGCTCACAAGCCGGTTTGAGATACAAGGATATCCATCATTCTTCCATCTCACGCAGGGCGAGTGCCGACAGTATGAAGGAGGGAGGTCAGCAGATGAGGTGAGGTGTTGTGGGCTGCCTTTGGTTATTTGTGTTCCCCCAAACCAAATTTTGCCCAGCAATCCACATTTGAAGGAGACTTCAGGATGGTGGATAGTGTTGCTCATGGAATGCTCCACAAAAGCTCTATTTGACTCCAAGCAGCCTTTCACAGCTTTGCAACAATGCATTTTACTACTGCACAGGTGAACTTGGAGAAGAGTGCGATGGCATCTCATGGCTGGCCCGTAGCACCCCAGAGCACTGCGCCAGAACACACGCTGCTCTCCTTGCACAACACACTCCCAACGGATGATGAGATTCACAGTGTTCTTGCCACATCTGCACATCATATTGCTGTTTCGTGGTGTCAAATCTGAATACAAATCAACTGTGCAAAGTTGCCAAACGTACCAGCAAAATGTTACATCACCAGAGTGCACGTTACTGTCAACGGTTGGCACTGTATTGTAGCTGCACTGTAGACAGCAGCATGCCTGCTGATTCCTCCTGGTTCCATTGTGCATCAGTGCATTGGGCTGTGCGCTTGAGATGTGGTGGCGACTGTGCACGTGTACTGTGGCAGCTCCGACACTGTACTCAGCAGATCTGTCATGGCATATGGCTACCAGTTTGTATACAGACAGAGGTCAGGCATCGTTCTTGCCATCGGCTGGCATCAAGCCCTACAGAATGTTGACTTGCCAGGTTTGCCGAACGCCGAACATCTACACTCTGACATGTGGCCTCTGTCCATCCATTGCAGTTCTATGAATTTGCAACTAATGGCTGGAAAAGGAAGGAGCCATGGCCTTTCTACAGAGCCCCCAACAGCCCTGTTGGGAGATCTCTGGGCGTTGTGAAGAGGTGAGCTGCAACAGAGATGGCTGTTTGTGGTATCTGCCAACACGCTTCATGTCCATGGTTGCTGATCTTCAGGGCATCTAGGTGCGCATGTTAGTTGACTTTTGCGCAATTGACCATAGGATTGGTTGCTGAGGCGGCCGTCGTTGTTAGTTGACTTTTGCGCAATTGGCCATAGGATTGGTTGCTGAGGCGGCCGTCGTTGGCAACTGCGTACACTGGGTTTTTGCACTGAATAACCAGAAACCATTGTATTCAATCCTTTTGTGCAGGCATTGGCCCCAAATTTGATATCTGAATAGATGCAACTGTCATTTGTGACGCCAAAAATGGCTCACGTTAGTGTGTCAGAGTGGACAATCTGTGTGATGAGCCAGTCAGGTTACTGCATGCAAGTCGACCATCATTTCGGCAATTGCAGTACAGGATGGGGGTGCACAAGTGATAACAGTCATTGACTTTCCTGTTCATGTTGCCCTCGCCTCCTGAAGTGTACACTGCAATGCTCATTGTTTTCGAGAGACTGTAGATCAGATGGTGCCAGTGAAATGGATTGGCCCATGGGTGTTACGGAATGTTAGTAATCTGGCAGTGGTCGCTTGCTGTGTGCAGGTGGTTCTCCAGCGTGCCCAGTCGCCTAAAGAAGGGCTACCAGTTGCTGCACTCAGATATGGGCCTGTCGGAGCTGTGGATCCTAGTCATCGCCCTCAGCGTTCCAGTCGCCATAGGCCTCAGCTGCATATGTGTATTGGACTACATCAACACTCGCCATTCCTTGATTCCTGACGCGGATGTGGCCCGGCCGCACGTGGATTGACTCAGTGCACGGCTTTGCGGTTGTCTAACAGTGGATGGGCACGTCTTCACTGCTGAAAGCAGGCAGAGAAACTGCGGGCCACTGCCCGAAGTGCATGCTCCACAGTGATGGTGCTGCTCTGGTGCAAAGGAATTTCTGTTTGTAGCAACGACTGAGCCCCGAGTGGCAACTATCCCACTTCATCAATCTGGAGGTTGTTATCTGGGGGTGTGTTCAGCAGAGCAGGACCATCCCCCCCTTGGCGTCATGGCCTAGCGGATCTTGACCTGGGGAATGGGCGCTAAACGACTGTGGGGACATCTACAGGTCTCATGGCTTGAAGTTGTCAGAACTTCCTCATTTGTACCACTACTGGAATTGAAGGGAACGTTATGGTGATTGTCACAGCAATCTTGGGCTGGCAGTGGCCTTGCATGTGGGCTTCTGGTTGTGTACCTTCACAGTTGCGCGTGTGTCAATGTCACGCACTATCATGCTTGCACACACTCGCCATTCAAGTAGGGGACGGATTAACCGCATACGGACAGCGGGCACATTATCCAACAGACGAGGTCTGCGTGTTCTTTTTGCCAAGATTTCCATTGTGGAAAGAATCGCTGGGACTACCTCTATAAGCCCACTGCACATGAAGCCCAGCATCCCCAAACAACAAAGAAGTTTAACGAATCTGGCTGCGCACGCAGGAAGGGCACACCAATGCAAGGTCCTGCAAGCACTGAGCATTGGCAAGCATGCACAAAACCCGCTGTGTGCAGCCATGGCTCCGCGCCATTGGCCAAGTGCACTGGCGATGTCGCTCAGGTGCATCACGCACCTTTTCCAAACCACACGCAACGGCGACTAGCCAGAAATTTGCACAGATCAACACATCCCAGCCTGCTGCCCATGCCGCGCCCCCCCCCCCCGGATTTGGATGCCCCAGCTTGCCTGCACACTTCTTGGCGCTCCCGTGCCCCTGCAGTCACTGGGCAACTTCACGAGACTGATGTCGCCTGGACTGAAGTCGCCTGAAGGCTTGCAGGCTGCTCATCGGCCAAGAACATGGCACGCATTCGCCTTTCGACCTGTGAAGGACTCTGCCAGCCCGTTCCAAACCAGCAATTTGGGCTGCACACAGTGCCCACAAATGCCCAAAGCGCCAAATGGCAGACAACCTCACGCACTGACCCCAGTCAGCGCGCTTGCCCAGCAAAACGGTTTACAAGATCGTTTGCCCGTCCAAGGGGTCACCTGCGATTCTCCTGTCTAAAGTACGCAAGTTAAATGGGTGTGGGAGCAGACTACCGCTGCGCCTTCACATCACCGAATAGCTCCATCTCGAGCTCCCTCAGCCTTGTCAAGACCTCTTCGCAACAGGGCCTGTCTCGCGGCTCCTGGCTCCAGCAGTCACAGATGAGCTGCTTCAATCCTGGGGGACAGTGCACGTCCTCAGGGAATTGTGGCCTTGTCCCGTTGCTGGCCACAGTGAACATGATGGCAAAGGCGTGGTCGTAGTCCTTGTAGGGGGTGCTACCAGTCAGGCACTCCCAGAGTATGAGTGCCAGGGAGTACAGGTCGCTCTTGTGGGTCACGTTCTTGCTGTTTATGCACTCGGGCGCCATGTACTCGATGGTCCCAGCCAGATGATTTCGTGTCTTGAGGTAGGTGCTGGCCTTCACTCTCGACAGCCCAAAGTCTGCCACCTTTGCACGGCCGTCCTTTGACAGCAATATGTTCTGTGGCGAAAGGGAACAAACCCGTGGGTGAGACTGTTCTATCCAACAGCAGCTCTACCTGGTTGAAGTGTGTAGCTTGACAGCGAAGAAGCAATGCTACCAGTAACAATAGGGGTCTGACCACTCCTGTGTAGTTTCCATCGAGAGACTGGGCACACCCACTGGCAGGTGTATGACCAGAAGTTGCAACACCAGCGCCATGGGTTGGAGAAGGTACTGGCTGCCAAGTGATTGAAAGACTTGGCAACCAACAACCACATTTTCAACAACCAGCCCATGCGAAACGAAAACAAAAGCACCCTGTACCCTGGCACCCTGGGTCGTCTGCAGGTGTTTGCAATACTTCATGAAGAACGCCATACACACAAAACTCAACATGTGCCCAAGGGCAATGGCTAAAATTTTGGCATGCCACCTCCCACCAACTTTGCTCTCCTGTTGCATATGATGGGACAACAGTACAGTCTGCAATGCCTTGCATCAAGCTCGGTAGCAGGGCGAATGGCAAGCGTTTTGTCCATGAGACCAACGTGGAAACACCGCAACTGGACAGAGCCTATCCTCAAGGTTGCAATGGCTCCAGGCTCCTCCCTTGGGTCCTTCCTATCCCGAAATGTCAGCTCACCTGCGGCTTCAGGTCCCTGTGCACAATTTTCGGGTGCAGGTGGCAGAGGCCCGACGTGATGTCCATCGCCAGCCTCAACAACTGGCGCACCGGCATCGGCCTGGGGCCCCACTCGCAGGAGTGCACCAACTCATGGAGGGTGCAGTGCATGAGCTCCTCCACGATGAATATGCAGGGCCCCGCCAGGCACCCACCGTAGCACCGCACCAAGTTCTCGTGGGGCCCAGCGGCGCCCAGGATCCTCAGCTCATTGGCCATCACATCCGCATTGGCCACCTCCGCCGAGGATGGAGAGAACCTCTTCACCGCCACGGGCTGCCCGCCGTACTCCGCTTTGTACACCTTTCCGAACGCGCCCTCGCCCAGGACCACCCTGGGGTGGCCCAGGTGCAGGTCCCCCCACGCGATCCCCAGGTTCATGCCCGCCAGGCCGTCATCACACCCCCGAGGCGTATCCCCGCCCGCCGATGCCTTGGACCGCGACGTCTCCGTCCCGCCCCTCTCCTGCCCGCCATCCATACCAACACCACCAATTGCCCCCTCGACAGTTTCAGCGCCAGGGTCCTCGAAAGTTTTGGCGCCAGGGTCCTCGACAGCTTTGGCGCCCGGGCTCTCATGCACTGCGCCCTCGCCGCAGTCCCCCTCCGCATCCGGCGGGTCCGCATTCCCCTCCCTGCTCCCCGAAATCTCTCCCATCTCCATGGACGCCTGCTTCTTCACCAGCACCCAGTTGCCGTGCCTGACGGGCTCCGCCAGGTCGACCGTGCAACCGGGCTCGTCGGGCATCGAATCCACCCGCTGGGGCGGCAGCCACACCCAGCCTGACCCCTGCGAGCTCTGCGTGCTGGCGGCGCCCTCCAGCGCGGGATCGCCGCAGTCCCCGTCCGCGGTGGCGGCCAAATCGGCGCCGGCCTCAGCATCGCCGCTGAGCTCCGGCGATGGGGGCTCAGGGGCCGATCCCATGGCGCTGAACCCGGGGGAGGACGCCGGCCGCGGGTGTGGGTAGTCGTGTTCCACGGAGGGGTTTGGGCTCGCGGAGGACAGCGGATCGTCGCCGAGGGAGATGGCCGACTCCAGCAGGAGCGTGGAGGCGCTCCCCTGGCAGCGGGGAGGGTGCGCCATCAGTCGATCGGCAGGAGTTGTCCCACGGAAAACAGGATCCATAAGGGCGGGCGGCGCGGATTTTCGCGTCGTTTTGGCTCTGAGGGAGGCGAAGGCAATGCGGCGCCGCGCCCTGCGGCGGGGAATCTGCGGGCGGAAGCCGGGGCCCGCGATCCGCCCGGTGGCGCTCTCTGGCCCCGCCGACGCAGCACGCCGGACACGGGACGTTTTGCAATTACCTGAGGGTATGAGAGCGCCCCGCTGGCAATCTGATCCACGGATTTTCGGCTCATCCCGTCGATGCGCCGCGGCGGGCCGATGCCCTGCCTGGTGACGCCACCGATGTTGATGCGGCGCGTCCACGCGCGACAGGACCCCGGGATCCCGGCGGGCAATCACGGGCCCGAAGACAGAACTGCAGGGGATGCAGAGTCGCCGCGGGACAAGCTCTTGTGGCCTACGGCACGGCCAGCGAGAGCAGAGCCGAGAGGGGAAGCAGGGCACCGGCGCAGCCCGGGCAAGTGTGGTGCCTGCTTGGCTTCAGTGTGCCCAACGTCGGCGCCGCTGGGAAATAGAAAGGGAAGGGGCGCGGAACGGGATCGGTTGAATGGGAAGATGACGACTGCTGGTTCCGTTTCCGTCCCCACTCTTACTCGTCGGGAACCTCACACTGTCATCATCACTGTCACGGGTTCGCTTCTCGAAGGCACCTGCAGGGGCATGGTGCTGCAATCCCGGCCAAGCCTGGCCTCCACGCGCAGGGAGCGGGGCGTACCGAGGCTGCCGCCCAGCGCCGTGAGGAGGCGGGCGATTGGTCCTCGCCGGCCAAGGCGAACGCAGAATTCGACGCGGTAGTTATGAGGCTGGGAGCCAGCACCCATCGACGGAAATGTGCCCCGGAGCCCCGCAGAGTGAGGGCTTGAACGCACTCCAAGACGCTACACACGTGACAGCTCCTTATTTCGCTTCGCACCTCTCGCGCCGATCTCCCCGCAGGAGGGGAAGATTTGCCCACACACTCATTGCACACGCACTCAACACATGCACTTATTCCTGAACGATGGGGTAATCCTGTGTGATGGAGACTCACTGCGCGCAACACATCTTGACACACGCGCACACACACGTGCATCAGCCTGAAGCACTCCAGGTGCTTTGACGGGACAGCTGAACGGTTTACAGCATCCACACAACGCCCTGTGAGTTCGGAAGTGGCACATATTGCAACACGTTGCAAATCAATGCCCGGAAACATTCGTCAGTTTCTTGGCAACTTCCTCGTGCCCTGTTTTATTCAACCCCAGGAGTGGACATTTTCGAACATACCAAACGGCTTTGTTCAACGACTGCTGAAGCCGAGTGAGCTTCACCACACTGGAGCGTCGCCAGAGCCTGGTGGCACATTCACAGACACACACGACAGCCGATTCTGAATCGATGCCCACCAAAAAAGTGCACATGCACCAAAAGACCAGAGACACGCTGGTGCCAAGCCAAAACGTCTTGCTACCCTATCTACACTTGAAAATTCACAAGGTTCCTGGGTTCCCCGGCGCCCCTCCCTGATTTGACCTGCCCTGAAGTTCATGCGCATGAACTGCCATATCCAACGTCCAACCAATCCAACACACTAACCACAAAGGCAGCGCGCAGTTCATGGCAAGCGCCTCGAGCAGCTGATCCTCAGAACACGTCTGGTGGGCCACCGCTGCCCGGGCCAAAGGGGGGCCCAGTGGCACGCTGCAGGTGCATCGTCAGCGAATAGTTGCTGAGCTCAAGGGTCCTCAGCTTGTCTTGGTACTGTGCCAGCAGCTCACGCATCCTCTGGATCTCCTGGTCCTTGGAGCCCAGCTCCTGAAGACGCGAGTGCTGGACGTTGACAGCCTTGCACAGGATAGCGTTGTCCTTCTTCGCTTTCTCAAACTCCGCCTTCAGTGTAGCTAGCTCCTGCAAACACAACACCCATCAACTACAAGTCTCAGCAGGGGCACAGAACGCCCTTTGCTGAGAGCAACCCACACCAGAAGGGAACATGGAGTGGTGCAGTGGAGGCATCAGCGCTGTGAACGTGCTGAGATGCTGAAATGCTGCTTGGAACATCCGCTTTCAGGGAAACAAAGAAAACGGTGCAGTGAGATGTCCGCTAGAAACGTTGAAGCAAACCCACTGACTCAGCAGTTTGTGCCCTGCATCCAACCCCCATAATGTTGTACAACTTTCACAGCTCGCTGCAGCAGCAAAGGCCTAGCAGTCCAGCCATACAGAGTCCCCCAAATGCCCTTCCCACCTCTGACTCGCTTGCACACTTGGACATGACTGCAGCTTCGAAAGCTTCCAATAGCTTTGCCACCCGAGCCCGTGCCTCCGAAGGCTGCCTGGACTCGTAGAACTGCTTCAAGAATGGATCAAGCCATGCTGGTGACAGGCGATCGCTGCACCCCCTTGATTGGCCACATTCTGCGCCTGTGAGCATGCAGACCACAGCTGAGAATCCAATATCAGAGTTCATTGGAAGGTGTCACGGCATCCCAATCAGTAATCTCTCACTGAGCAGTCCTGCAAGAAGAATGTACGACACCTCTGCCCGTCTGGAAACTGCAGCCAAGGCTTCCCATGGAACCAATCCAAAACCACTTGTTCCAACTACAACAGTTGAAATGGAGGACAAACACTGAATTTGCAAGTCGCCAGTGCAGCTGCAGGTCGCCAATACAATCTCCAGTGCACCTTACACTTGCCAGGTATGTTTGTTGTAGCTCTTTGCCAACTATACTCCATGGAATCTGGACAAGGCCTGATTGTGAAGTCATGTCGAATTCTGGATTCAGGACATTCAGCTACTGTGTATGTATCAGGACATTGAAAGCACAACCATGCTCTGGTGCAAAGTCGATGTCACAGGTTCGACCAAACATACCACCACTGATGCTTGATCCAGGCAAGTGTTGATGATGAGCAACTGCTTGTTGCTCCACAGGATTCAAGCTGGACAGCCTCAGTTGGTGGAGTTCAGCGATGGCAGCCTCAATGTTGTCCCCATTGTTGTCCAGCACTTGTTCGATAATCTGCCAAAGCACAAAGAGGATCAGCTGTACAGCCACAGTTGCCCACTGCTCACTGTTCCCCTTGTGGCTCGAGCATCGCTGGCCATCTCTTAAACCAGTGCTTGCATAGCCTGGCCAGGCCCCTCACAGTCCCTGACTCAGGAATGTGACAGCCTCAACGCTCATTCATCAGGCGGCTGGGCCTTCCAGCTGGTGGGGCGTTACAGGAGTTGCGGTGTGGACAACTCGAATTAACTGCCTCAAAAACTCAGTGCTCACCGCATTTTCGAGCTGTGTCCAGGATTGCCACCACAACCAGGTTCAGCCTGCCACACTCCTAACACTCACACAGCAGCCCCATCGTTGCCTTTGGGCTCAAGGGCACTGCAAAACCCTGACCAGGCAAACCTTGCCCAAAGAAAAGTTCTACCCAGCAGCCACAGGGGCAGCCAAAATGCAAGAATTATTGCGCAGAGCACTGTCTCCATTGTGACACCACCCTGGATGGTCTGAATTGTAGCCCACAACACACCCACAACAGGCCATTCCTGCATGACACACCAGCAAGACCACCAACTGCCCTCAATATCAACTGCATGTGCAACAAGCCGCCTCAAAGCCCCCTTCTAGCCTCCCCTCACAGCACAGGACGACCATCGACACAGGACACCTACACCAACCCAACTTCCCACCACCCTCCCTTCCGCTAAACACACCAAAGCCCCCCCCTGGAACCTCCGCCCGGCTCCCCACCTGATCGCCAACAACTGCTACCCTGCTGTTCTCTCATTCGTATGCACCTTATTCTGCCTCGGGGCCCCCACTAAGTCTCCTCAAGATGGAGGAAATGTGGGATCACGCTCCGTCAATCTGTCTTCCAACAACGCCCCTACCTCCCCAACCCCCACCCCGCACAACACGACACACACAAGAAACATGCACATACCCCAAAGAAACACGCCCCAACACACATTCTTGCCGACGGTGGCGGCTACAGCGATGCAAAGCGGCACAGGGGGCCCCACATACTTGCCTAGGAGCGGGTGCTTCATCGCATGACCTGTTTTTTTTGGGGATTATCGCACATCTTGACACGCGCAAGCCACAGCCCAAAGCGCCAGCCGCATAGCTCCCTCCCTCCCCACCTTCTCATCCACATCCGGGAACATTCCCCCCAGCCTCAGGGCTGCGCTCTGCCTGGCACACGGCCCGCCGGCGCCCGGGCCCCCCAGCAGGGCCTCCTCGGGGCGGCACGGCAGCGGCTGTGGCCGCCTGGCGCGCTTGAAGCAGCCGAGTCCTGGGCCTTGACCAAGGCAGGCCCGATCCTCCGCGCCGGGCCCGCGATCCTCGAAGAGGCGCTTCCTGCCGCTCAGAGGGGAGCCGAAGGCGACCGACATGCTAGGCGCCGGGCCAGGCAGCGGCCCGCCGACGCGGGCCGCCTGGATGCGGAGACTCGAGCGCCGGGGGGGGGCTGGATGGATTGATCGGGAAGGGGGGCGGGAAGGGGGGCGAGGGGGCGGGAGGGCGTGGGTGGCCCGCCTAGGGGGGCGGGACGGCCTGGGAGGAGTGGAATGGGGAGGGGGACCCCGGCTTGCAGGGCGGCTGGGCGTGTGGGGCAGGCTGGCGGATGAAATAGGCAGGGGTTGGGCGAGGGTTGGGCGGGAAAGGGGCGCACGGTGTGTCGGGGCGCGTGGTCTGACTGTGCACTTCTATTTCAATTTTGACTTCGAGTTCGAGTTCGACTTCGATTTGGAATTGGATTGCGCTTCGATTTGATGCCTGCGCAGATTCCGTGCGGATTCTGGATTGTGTTTTCGTGGTGCACATCAGATTTCGGTGGACAAGTTGTGGACACCGCTTGGTGAGGCAAAATAAGCAGCTGACGGTGATGGGACATAATCATGATACAAGGACTGAATGGCTGGCCGGGCCGTAAACGTACACCGCTGTTTTGGGAATTGACTGTAACTCCGTTGCCTCCAGCTTGTTCCCAGACCGCCTCCACCAGAACCGCTTCCCTAGTGGCGAAACAGCCAGCGACCTATCGGCGGCTGCCTCCATGCCCTGTTGTGTAAAATTACATTACGTTGATGATTCTGCACGCCAGCGAGCCAGAAATTGCGTGTCTTGTTTGATCACGCTTTGCAATGCATCCCCGTGTACCACCGAACACTGCAGCCCGACTGTCCGAGCATGACTGCCGCAATCACGCGCTTCAGCAGTGTTTTTCATCATCAGGGACTTGAACTTGTTGTCGTTGTGCCCTGGCTGCGAACCTTGGTCCCATAATTGCCCGGCCACAGTGGACAGCCTTTCTCCTTGGCTGGGCGACACCTTGTTGGCTCTAATTTGCATCAACAATAAATTAGTACGATAATTGCGTTGGGCCCTTCCAGCGCCCACGGTCGTGGCATCACTGCATAGGCAAGACACAACACATTTGAACAGTCTTACATGCAACATTACGCCAGCCTGGAATCCGTTGTATGACATGCTTATCTTCTCACTTGTTAAACCCCAATAAGCACACCCACAACTGCCTGCGCCTGCGCCATGCACACTGCAGCAGTGTCCTGATGTGCATGGGAACAGGGACGCTTCAGATTGCCCCTCCAGCCTACAGCCCCAAGTCCGAAGCACAACATCCTGCATTTCAGAGCCTGATCACAAAACAAGCACGTGTGGCAGCCACCTCAAGAGACACAACACACGTGGCCATGAGCAAAATTGGCGTGTGCCAGAGCCGTGCACCCCAGAAGGAAGCAACTTGTACATAACACTCGTTTGTGCACAACATTCACAGCCACTCGTTCTCTAAATTTCTTCTGCAAACTCCCTCACTCCTCTTTGTCATGGCTCCCAGGAAAAATAATGCTCAATCAGGCTTGATTGGCAATCCCTATTCGCTCTTGTACAAACCCACAGCCTCGTCACGCAGTGCCACACAGTGCCACTGATATTCTATGACCGCCTGAGGCACATAATATGCTGCATACATCGCCTCACCTGCTATCCTTGGGGCATACATGGCATGCCAACTTCAGGACAGAGGCATTGCTAGATCCACAGACCTCTGAGCCCCATGAACATGCCCCATGCCCCCCATGGGCATTATCACACCTATGCTACAAAGTTTGTGGGACCAGTGCCGTCAATATCTGGTCAAACAACACCACTTTGCACATCCCTATTGACTACACCTTTGATCGACTGGCTATCCTCAATCCCTCTTCAAACCATGCTGGTGGTGGCCATCCACTTGAAATACATGAACTGGGGTTGGGTGATCAATTGCATCTTGCAAAATGTGTGCCACATTGGCACTTGCAACAAGCGTTATTACCCAGTCCTGCCAATAGGCTCCCTCAATGCACACATGCTGGCTTCTGCACCAGCATTGCCACCACCCTGAAAGATCCAATTCTGTACTCCGATGCCTACATAGCAGCCACACATCCATTGGAGGCCGGCCGCAGCCCTAATCCCATTTTCTTTTACTTTATTCACCTTCCAAGCTACTGCAGTCCTGCAACTAGCCCCACGAACAAACTGGCAACATTCTCCACCAACCCCATTGTCCGCTACGCAGGCATCCATAAACAAACAAACAACAGGCCACAACACCCTCCGACGTCACTGGCTGAGGACAGTGACGTGGTTGATCTTCCAATTCCCATCCCTCCCAAGGACCACACCATACTCCACATCGTAGGTGCTCTTGTATTTGTCAGCCTGCCTTCCATCGGCACCATGCATGGACGCCGACTCTTTGAGCGTTGCCACGACAGTCAGGTGGCCAGCACCACCTCTGAAATGCGAAGAGTCCACATCGGAAACCTTGCAGCCATCCAGCTTGTATTTCCAGAACCAGCCCTGTTGGGAGACGTCCTGCACCTGATTAGCCCACTCTCCCAGCATCGGCTCAGCCAAGACGCTCCTCAGTAATCGGTCGTCATGCCTTGGCCCCAAGGCCAGGGACTTCGCATACTGTATTGGAGACAGCCCAGCGTTCAGTGCAGATGGCCGGCAGCGCCATGGATGCGACTGTGAAAGAAACCCCCCAAGACACTCTTTGTGTTTCCTTTCCAGTTCCTTTGGATCTTATTTGGTTTGGATGGGCTTTGCCGCACACTTTCCATGCAAATTAAATAATTGCTGACGCTGGCCCCTAAAGCACTGTGACATGCCACAGACCGCTACTGCAGCATGCTGGTTCCCCTGAGAAATCAGACACTCCACTTTAGCGTCCACGGGCTCTCAAGCCCCGTGGCTGTAAAAGGAATCCAATCTATCAGTCAGCAAGAATCGCAGAAAATAAAGGCAAAGACCAGCACGACAACCACAGGCTGCGATCTCTCAACAAATGATGATAGAACGATGCAGCAGCAAGACATTGTCCTTTCCCACCTGCCACCTCTTTATCAGTTTTTCCGCCTCAGGAAACCTCAAGGGAGCACCCAGCGGCAATGCACTCAGGGTTGTCCTCTGCTGGTCAGTCAGTGTGGGGTGAGGTGCCTCCAATGCCGAAGCCCCAGCCACACTCCCCAGTTGACCGGTGTTGGAGAGTGAGTACAGAGCAGCGCCCAAAACGACCCCACCAGCCAGGACAGCAAGGACAGGAAGGCGGCGCCTGCAGAGAAAGAGTTCATCAATTTGGTTTGTGATACTGAGAAGGTGCACCAATTCACCAAACTGAATGGCCATTCACCAGGACTGAGTGAAAACTAGGCGGTCAAAGCCTGATCAGCATCTGGTTATGCCTCCCATGCATGTCTTGAAACACAAGGATGGGGCGGCCAGGAAACATATGGACAAGACCATTGAACCAGGAGGCTCAGACACAGATTGGATTCAACGCACACATGAGCTCCTCCACACTAGCGAAGAGTAAAGGCCTATACTTGCAGGCATCGGATGGCGCTGTGCCTGTCAGTGTAATTTGACTGCTCCTCCACTTTCACACACCCAGCAGCAGACTAGGCATAAGGTGTGGCACACGCCACAGATGAAGACAAGGTCTCATAGCCCCACAATTTTCTATGCCAATACACCTCCCTAACTGCCTCGTACATACACACACACCATCACATTGTTGCCAGCTATAAATGGAATTGCCATGAAAGTAAGCGCACTGGGGTGGGAATGGCTGTGGCTGTCTTTTTCTCCTGGTCCTTTCTTTCCAGAATGAATCTACATCTACCTTTGGAATGGATACTCTGATTTATATCTGCCATCATACAACTCAACGCAAAAAGACAATTTGCACAATGAGAGTGCAAGCAACCAAAGCATTCGAAACACACTCCACCCATGTTCATAAGCCTTATGAATGTCCATTGCTCACAAAGCCAATGCAAGTCAACCTACCTCTTGGTGTCATCAAACAGCATTGCTTCTGATGGCTGAGAGTTGAAGATGTCAACCTCTGGCAGCCCTGTCTGGGCAGGGTATGAGGAAGATGTTTGGCCCTGTCTCTGAGAAACCTGAAGGCAGGGGGATGACAGCATTGATGTCAAGAGCATCAGCACAATTGTAACTCAGTGTGAGCCGGCAACACAAACTGAGGCACAAGCATCACTCACGTCAGCCTTGAGAAATGCTACTATTCTTGTGTCCAGGCTGGATTTCCTGCCCCAAGCCATGGATACATTCGATCAACCTGCACAGAAGGCGCCATTCCAGGATGCCTTACAAGAAAACGTCCGATAGACCATGGCTAAAGATCAGCGACTATCATACCGATGTGTCATTACTGGGAATGTGGCAGCTTCGGACCTAAACGGAGCAGCCAACATCACATGGTGCCATTTTCACAATCAAGATGGCACAGTCGTTGAAGCAGTCAAGTCGACAAGACCCTCACCAGTCGCATCTCTGCCTCATATCTTCTGTCAGCCTGAGCTCCATGCGCCACATGCAGCTGCTGTGAACCAAGAGCTTCATCAAACTTTGAAACAAGCATCTCTATCGTGCCCCCTTGGGGCGCTGCCCTCTGTGGTTTTCTGCCCCTCATGCCACCAACGAATCGATTGTCTTTGAAGTGTGCAACCAGTGAGGAGTCTGGCACACGCATGCTTGTGTCGCGGAATTGGGTGAAAGCCTGCACACCACCCATGCCACCCACAACAAGAAATTCAGCGCCACACCATGGGCGGCACAAGGGTTGATTGAACGCATCGATGTTCAAAACAGGGCAAGCACACATCAAGTATTTTCTCTGTGGCTAGTGCCTGTGACAGTAGTTGCAGTTTCTCGTTCATGCAGGAATGCAGTGCTTGCATGTGCCCCCAAACAGAGTGCTGAATTTCTCCTCTTTTGGGACTGTGCATTCATCCAACTTTCATTAGCATTCGTGCTTCACATTCAACACCACTTCCTATGGGATACCACACAGCTGTAATCCCTCCTGTCAGGATGTGGGGAGCCCCTGGACTCTTAAATGAACTGCAATACTTTGGAGTGACAAGTATGCCAGCTGGAACCATGCATCACAACAGAATTCGACAGCAACTGTCCTTCTGCTGGCTAGCAAGGAGGAACAAGACCTGCATACCTGTCCACGAAATACATTGGCAACTGAAACGGTGAATGCCTTGCAAAAAAAGAGAACAACGCAGTAAAATAAAAAGCAATACAAAAGCAATAAAAAGCAACCAACGGGCACAAGGAGCTGTTCAACCTGCTTGACAGTTGAAGGGTCAGTTCTAAATGCGCTGAAGCAATACCTTGTCGAGCCAGCGCTCGGCAAACAGGCACAGGCCCGGCAGCAAGTCTGCATCCCCCTGGGGCGAGTGTTGCCTGACAAATGTCAGTGTCTCATTCCTTGAGGGCAGGGACTTCGCCCCAACAGCAGCGGATTCTGACGGCGTGGTGCCAAAGTACGTTCCCTCAAAGACACGATCGCCGCCAGACTGCCTGCAGCACATCGAGACTTCTGTGGAGGCTACCATTGCCATCCAACAAGCGGAATCCAGCCAGTCAACAGTATAATGATAAGGATAAATGTGATAGTATAGGTATAGCTATAGCAAATGCAATTGCAGTAGCAATAGTAATTGCTATAGCAACGGCAATAGCAACGGCAATAGCAACGGCAATAGCAACGGCAATAGCAACGGCAATAGCAACGGCAATAGCAACGGCAATAGCAATGGCAATAGCAACGGCAATAGCAACGGCAATAGCAACGGCAATAGCAACGGCAATAGCAACGGCAATAGCAACGGCAATAGCAACGGCAATAGCAACGGCAATAGCAACGGCAATAGCAACGGCAATAGCAACGGCAATAGCGGTAGCGGTAGCAATGGCAACAGTGTGATGCTTGCTACATCCAGCATTGTGATCGCATAATACACAATATCTCAAGGCGCAGTGCTGCACTCTATTGTGCTTCTTTTGAGCCCAAGTGCACCATTGGGAATGCAAAAATAAGCAGAAGAACGGGATCCTGGTACAACTCTGCTGAAAAGCGATCTGACAAGACTGGACCTATGCATGAGGCTTCCTGGCACAGAACAAAATGCAGTGGAAGGCACAACACATTCCATATGCAACATAGGTGTTTTGCTTAGCCGCTCCTGATTTGCGCTGCCGCTGCTCCCCACTGACAGTCAGTTGCCGCTCAAATTCATGTACCGCTGGCAGTGCACGTCTCACCCTGGCTCACACCTGTTCTGCATCTCCTTCCCCGTTCCTTCCACTTTGTCCAATATGTACAGGGCACTCTCTACCTGGCCCATGAGTATCTTGCAGATAACATGCTCAACATGGGCCTCTCTCTCCTGACAGAAGTGCAAGAACAGCAGTCATACAACAAACTAGAAACTTCTAATCACCGGGCCCAGCTCATGCCCGGGTGTCAACCGGCGAAGTCACATTCAGCACCATGGCAACAACGGTGCGACAGGGCAAGCCAGCCATATGTCAGCTGCCATTCCTGTGTCAGGCGCCCTTCCTGCGTCAGGTGCCCTTCCTGAACGCCTTGTGGTGAGATTACTCATTGTTTTAACGCGCACATCAGTGCTGGAGGAAAGTTCAACAGTCACCATGATACTGGATCAACCACCCTGGTCACAATGCTCCACTGGCAATCGCAGCCTCGCTGACAGCAGTAGGTGATTCAAAGCCAGCTGTCGATCACCCCCCCAGGGGGCCCAGGGGGCCCACCGATGTGTGAGCAAATGCTGCAACAGGTGATGCAGTGGGCATCAAAATGTGATTACCCGTTTGGAATGGATGCAAGGGAAGCAGACAACACAAGATTCTCAGGGCGGTGGAGAGAGGATGGGAGCCCATGTGAGACCTGTCACGGCAAAAATGTTGCAGAGAGTGCATCCTGAGGGATTGGTCAGCACAGCGTACAAACTCGGGGACAAAAATAGCAATACATGTGGGCACAGTCAATACAGGTGCTGATGGCGCATCACATCGTGCCATGCTGTGATGATGCACCACCTGGTGTCACAACCAACCAACTTGCATAAAGAACAACCAGGTCGTCATCACCTTGCCTGGCAAAGAGAGAACTGCATCAATGGTCTGTAGTGGTGCAGGCTTCTTCTGTGCAAACCCCACAACAATATGTGCAGCCGCAGCTCGCAAGAGGACTCCAGGGTAGTACCTGGCGCAGTCGGCAACCAATTTCAGACGAACCAAACGCTGCACGCCCATGTAGCTGATGTCCAACAACGCAAGCGTAGTAAAATGTTATGCAGTGTTTGCAGAGTTGTTGAACTGCTATGCGATGGTCAACACAGGATGCCCTGTGAAAAGTTTTACAGTGAGGACAATGGCAGCTGCCTAAACCAAACGCATCGCCATCTACATCCAATGTGCATCTTGAGGTCTACAATAAACAACGTGATTTGGAGTCGCTCAAGGTGACTGTACACATGCATGAGAGCGGGTGATATTCAACTTCCCAACCGCTGGCTGTCCTGTTCACTCAGAAGAACTACATGACTGCAAATTGTCAGATGCACCCTGCCTGGTTAATCCTTTGAGCATCGCCAAGCTCAAAAACCTGCAGAACAATGCACAGTGCGAGCCATCTTCCTTCCTCACCATTGCACACTTTTCGGTTCCCGGAGGATTCTAGGCCAGTCTGTCATCTGCAACACTTCTACGGAGGTGAGTGCTTCCAGAACCTGCTTCACATAGTGCCGATCCACAGAATACTGTGCAGCCTTGTTGAGTCTGTTCTTGTCAGGCACCGCCAGCAACTCCTTCAACGTGACAAAAATAACATGTCAGTTGCAAGTACTCCAGGGAGCTAACATTGCAAACCACAATGTGCATGTAACACCTTGAGATGTGAATGTGTGGACAAGGGTCCAGTTATCCACAGCCTTTCTAATTCCCTGCATATTGCCCACAGTGTTGATGTTGGCATTGTTACCAATCCGTGCACAACCAATTAAATCCATCACCAAAATGCCACTGCCCCCTCCATCAATATTCTCAGCAGTTGAAGACTTCACGCCAAAGAAGTATATATGGTGTCTGTCACAGCTTGTACGGTCAACGGCATGTCCAAAACAGGGTAACGGCTCAAGTCTAGCAGACCGTGGCTCACCTGGAGTATCTCGATGGCCTGCTTCCTTGCTTGGGCATTCTCGGGTGTCAGAGGCAGCTGAATGTCACACAAGCGTGATGTCATTCTGGGCATCGACTTTGAAGCTGTGTGGAAACAGAATGCACACACAATGGAGCAAAGATGAAGCATCTCCCTGCAGCTCCTTTTGTGGTAAACTATCTCCTGGATAACTGTTTAGATTTTGGGGCGTATTGCCATGCAATCAACAAAAGCAGAATACATGTATGCTATCGCATTATAGGGCCAGAGTTTTGCATGCAAACAATTGTCGCTTTCCCCCTTCCCCTTCCTTTGCCTGTCGTAAGGTGAGAAATGACCAACTGATAGATCTTGGCCATCAACTTTGTACACTGGCGATGCTCATCAAACTGAATAGGATATGCAAATCTGCAATAAAAACAGAAGTTGAATGTTTTGTCCCCTGACTACCTTGAGCTGGCCCAGAACACATTGGGGTACATATTTCTCGAGGGCTTGTTGAATCTCGTTGGCTAGTTCGGGCGCCAGAGAAGGGCTGCCGCCATTCTCCAGGAATTGCAGCGCTTCCTCCATCCTTGCACAAGCTGTGGACACCTTGCAAAAGGACACCACAAACTGAGGCTCAGCAAAGCTGCAGGAATCATTCAGTCCAGAACCTGGAAAATATGTGGGAAATACAACCGAAGACATATGCTAAGAATATACAAACAAGTAACACATACATGAAAACATGTGGCAAGCACATGTGGGCACAACTGGTTGTGGGACTGAACCATTGCAAAACTGTCTATTTGCCGCCCAAACCATGCTGTTCCTTGCTTACACGCAATTCCATGCTCTAAACTAAAACTTCATTGTGAAAACTTTGCATCCAGCACAGAACACAGACAATGGCTTCTCATCGAGGTTACTCCATGGAGTAAAGCCTGTATTAGCTACAAGCCCCACCTCTACTTGGTCAACACCAATAGAGCATTGGATCGCCTCAAAATTCCATCACGTACATTCTTAACACATGCTTTTCACCTCCTCGTATCCCTTCCAGGCAACAGCAGATCTAGAGCAGCAAAACAAGAAAAACGAACAGCAACTGCACTCGCTTGTTCACATGGAGCAGCAATCAACGTGATTCAGGCAGTAGGGGACGCTCTTGTGGAATCCTTCCACTTGCAGTCAAGCCTGCAATATCAAGAGCAACACACTCAGCAACCACAACTAAAACGAAAAATCTGGGGTGCTGCGACAGAGCCCATGTGCCATCACCAAGCGTCAGTGGTGCTGTGTGCCAAACTCCCAGGAGCTGCCCTTGCAAAGGGGCAAGGCAATAACTGCCTGCTCAACATAGAAACATGCCATAAACTGGGGTCCATTTTGGACATCATGTCAAGCTGTTGCAAACCACTGACCCCAAGCAAGTCAAGAAAGTGTTTCAAAGTTAGGGGCATACTCAGCGATCTATCAGCATAAGGCCAAAGACAGTGCCATTCAGTCTCAAATGTCCATGCATTAGCAACAAGAGGAAACTAACAGCCAAAAAAATAGAAGCATTGTTCCCTTGTGGTCACGAACGATCCATGACTCTTTCGGCACTGTGGAGACCAATTGGAAAATCTGCTGAGGTTGGAAGCATCAGCTTACCTCGGTGGAAGTCGAGAAGAGGTCATCTGCTTGCCCAAGCTTTGCAAGGGCCATGGACAGCAGGATGTCCCGCTTCATGGCCACACCCTCCTTCGTGTTCATCAGCTTGTGCCCCATTTCCAGCACGAGGTCCATTCGGCCCAACTGTGTGACCGGTCGGCGCATGTGTTTGTCAGTATCTTCCTATCCATGTTTTATTCATGCGATGTGTGGGAATCGAAGAAGGCAAGCCTTCTTTTACGGCTGGGGTACCAGGAAATATTTGAGCCTTCCGCATGAGAAAGTTTCATCGTTACTAATTTTGCACCCCTGTTTTCGACAGACCATCATTCTGGGGGCTCCACAACTTGCTAACCACTGGAATTGCGACTCAACTCAGTTCGCATGGCCTCAAAGTCGGTTTTCCACCACAGCAACTCGTGCATCTGGGGCTGCTAGATGCCACGTGCAGTCCAGAGACCCTCGTATTGTGGCTGGGGCTGTTCCACAGATTCTTGGCACCTTTGCATTTTATTATTCCTCCGCATTGAGGCCAAACATTACGTTACTATGTCGAAGGGTTGAATACTTCACGGTAAGTGGTGTGGAATGATATACCATCTGTTGTGTTGTGTAGTCAGCAGTTTCCAGTCTGTACAGAATGCACATCTAGAGATGGCTGTTGAGGAGGCTGTCTGAAGGGGGTTGAGCTGAGAAATGCTGAGCTGAGAAAGCCAATCATAAGCAATTGAGTAAACAGACATCTATTTGACCTTGCAAGATCAGTAGGTGCAGACCACACTCTTTCTTTGCCAGTAAACACCATGGTTTACTTGAAGGTGGTCAATTTCGGTGCATAATTGAAGCAACAACACACCTAAGCGCCAAAGTGCATTTTGCCCCTAACATCGCAATGTCCTCGAAGTGATGTTGACGGGCTCTGACCAAGCCACAATCTGCACGTTTGTCTGCACCTGTGCAAGCATCCATATGGAATAAAGTACAATGATTGCTGCAATACTCCAGTTTGCACCTGGCAAAGATGAGCCATCAACCCTGGCACAAGGTTTATGGGTAGCTCCAGGCCCGTTGGCTGATTCCAGCTTCGATCCTCGTCCATGGCCTTCCCATTGACTTTTAGGAGCTCTTCCCTGGCCTCTTCTAGGAGTTGCTGCCGGCCAGCCAGCACTTTTGCACTATATCCATCTTCAAGCCTCTCTCTGACAAGCCGGTCATAGGCGGAGGTGACTTGAGAGTGCAGGTACGACTGGTTGTGGCGCAGGCCGAGCAGCTGCAGGGCAGCATGCCATGGTGTGAATCTGCACAGATCACATTGTTCGGAGAACTGGCAGGGCACTCCCCTGTTGCGATGTTGGGAACAGTGCAAGGAGGTGAAGACAGTCACCACATCTACGCCCAGAACCAAGGACAAGAATGTCCACAGGAATTTTGTGAATCTGAATCTGGCCGTTCTAACCATTTGCAGAGTTTTGGATGTTGTCGCAGTGGCTGCTCAAACTGCGACCTGCATTTGCTACAGCCCCCTCATATGTCCACCACAGAGAGAGCGAGAAAGAGAGAGCGGGCGGGATGTGCTTGTTATGCGCCATCGCCTTATCAAACACAATCGAATGCATCCAACACACAAATGCACTCATTTCCGCGAAGCCTGCACCCGTTTCCCTGGGCAAACATGCCGCCTCCGCAAAGGGCAACCGCCACTCCAGCACTGCGCCAGAGCGCCCAGATCTCTGGCCTTTCGCAGCGCCCAAAGGCAGCGAGTCAGATCCCCGCTGCGCCCAAAGCGCACGCAGCGGCGCCCTCGCATGAGGCCCGTACCATCCAGGTCGCCCGGGTCAGCCATTCACCACGGGCCCTTCGTCCCCGCGGCATGGATAAGAGGCGAAGCGGGATCCACGGCCTGTCGGGCACCAACAGCCCTCCCCGTCCCCCCGCAAACCTTTCCTTGCTCCCGGCAAAGCGAGCCCGAAGCAAAACCGCAGCGTTCGAGGGGACCAATCCCCGCGCCCGCGGCCCCCGCCGACGCACGCCGTCGCGAAACGGCGCAGCATTCCTAGCACCAAAAACCGGAAACCAGAAAAGCAAATGAACGAAAACAGTCGGCGCAAAGAACGCCAGGGCGTGGGCCCAAGGTCCCCTGGTGCAACGTCGGGCCACAACGCCACATGCCCGACGCCGGTGGCAAGAGGGCGCCGCTAGCAGCGCCCCCGATCAACCCCCATTCCGCACAAGATCCCAAGCCGCCCATCCCGCACCTCGCTGTGGTCCACGTCGACCGTGATCCCTCGCGGTGCCGCGGTGGGTGCCAAGGCGCCCGCGCAGGGCCGACCGCCGCGGCCATGGCCCCGCATCCCCGGCAGCCCGGCCCTACCCATGCCGCAGGGCCTGTCGACTTCCGGCGAGAGGCCCCGACAGCGGGCGTACGGGCCGCGCGCGGAGCTGGAGACCCTGCTGCCGGACTGCATGGCGAGACTGGGGTTGGGGGGGAGGGGGCAACCCGAGAGGCTGGGTGATGACCCAGCCCTTAGTGTGATTTAGACCAGTCTGCAGATTTGGGGGCCATGCGCACGGGATGTGCGGTGCGGCCGCAGGTGGACTCCTTGGCGAGAACGTATTAGTCCCTCGGTCGCTTCCGCGATAATCCTTTCTTCTTCCCCTGGCTAGCCCAACGCCGGTCGGTAGGCGAGTGGTTTTTTGGGTTGAGGGTGTCGGAAACAAAAAGGGACCTTCACGGGGAAGACAGAGCGACTGATTTCAAATCAGACACCGACGGCGTGAAAAACGTGGCGGTTGGGCCCGTTGCGTCAGAGCAGCTGGCATGGATTCACGGAAATGCAAAGGGTCGTGGGTCAATGATGGGCAATAGCAGGTTGACAACGGCTTTGTGCTTTGCTCTGGTCCTCTTTGGCTAATATGTGTGTGTGTGTGTGTGTGTGTGTGTGTGTGTGTGTAATTCCAGGATTACATGCAGAACAAAGCAACGTTCCTGCCAAAGCCCATGCACCAGAGGTATGTAGGCACTAGAGTCCACGGCAGAAATCAAAACCAAACAGCAGTGTCCCAAGAGAGCTAGAGAAAGGAAGAAAAGCAGTGAAGGCCTCAGAAAAACCACAAAGTGTTCCCAATGTGAAAGCGCAGGGGTGCTCCAGAAAAACCCCGTGTGTGTGTGTGTGTGTGTGTGTGTGTGTGTGTCAACAATTGCAGCATTCGCTGACCTGAACCAACATCACGACGGCATTGGCATGGCGTCTGTTCCTTGGTTGTTTTGTTTGTAAGACAACACTCCATCCACGCAAGAGAGAACGTGGCACAAACTTAATTTACACGGACGACATGTACAAAGCCCGAACGCATGGCAACTGGCTGAAGTGCATGTCTGTGCACTGGGCACACGGCGCAGAGCAACGTCGCGTTGCTCCACCCAGCCAAAGTTCGCTAAACTCAATCATAGCCCAGCCTGCATGGCTTCTAATGGCCCTGCCTTGGGGTGGACACGTCCCAGCACGCTCAACCGCCACCATTGCCTCGTGCATCCGGCAGCAAGCACCCAGGGAAGACTTGGATGGATTGAGATGCATTTATTTTCAGAATGCAATCAGCTTGAAGGGCAGACTTGGCACGTCTAGCACATGCACCTGGTGTTGCAAAGGAGACTTAACCATGCATGCACGCTCATAGGCAGCCTATTCAAGACAAAACTAGAGTGCATTTTTAAGGCTTCAGCGAAGGGCAGCTAAGGAGCATGTTTGCATCCTTAATAGTGTTCTTGTGTCCCTTGCTGCAAACTAGAACCCAATCCATGACCCTACATCTTGAACATCAACAACGAAATACACAAGACAAAAAACGGGGAACCCTTCCGCAAAAGGTTTGCAAAAAACTTGGGCAAAGTTGCCATGCAGCGTCTGTACCTCTTCGTCGCCACCATCGACAGCGCCACATAACGCAGAGCTAAAGGATGTACCTGTGAGGAATGCCCCCACGTTGTGCATCAGCTATGGCCGGACAGACTCAAAAAGAAAGGGCCACCGTGTGTCATATGTACAGAATCTTGCATCAGATGACCCTCTCCACTCTACATTGGCTCAAAAAGACGGGTGCACGCAATGGGATGTGCACTTCAGAAAAGATATGCACCCTGCCGTGGCAGCAAAGCAAAGTTGTCAGCTTCCCATGTGCATTTTGTATACCTGATGACTTTGCAGCCACACTGCCAATCTGCCAGAAGAAAGTTAAGAAAGCTCACAAATAAGGGGCAAGCAAGAATTTGCAACAAAACAAGGCATTGGGAGGAGAGCCGATTGGAAAGGATGGAGCTTGAGGACAGAGCTCGACACACGTGGCCCAAGTAGCAATTCCAACATACAAGACACCACCACACACTGTTGTGCATGAATCTGCATCAGCAGGTGGTCAATTGCAACGTTCAGTCCCACTTCAACCAATACCTTGGGGTTAAGAGCGGATTAAACTGGCACAGCAATATGAGATTACACGCAAGAGGCAACGTGATCATGCTCAGCACACATGCAATGGTAAATACAACATTCCCCCAGGCTTGCTCAGCAACCGCCAGCCCCTCCCCACCCCGCCTTTGGCATGACTTGAAATGGTGCAGGCACATCGCACAGAACATCGTTTACACCAAGTGGCACGGACAATGGCACTCGTTACTCCCAAAACTGCCCACACTATCCAGCGAAATACTGTCCGGGTTTTAGGGCTTTGACTCCAGGGTGGTTGTCGCAAGCCATGAGAAGAAGCGCAGCCACTCGTTAGTAGCTGATCAACACACTTGAACTCAAGTGCTCGTGATGCCCGTGGCTACCGCACCTCACTGGAGTAGTACGGTGTGTGGGGGTTGCCGCTCGCCCTCTGATTCCCCTGCTGCCAGTCTGAGACTGGCCATCCGCACGCAAGAGCCCTGAGGTCCGGCAGCGACAGTTTCCTCTGCAAGTCCCCTGTGAAGTGAGAGTCGAGGCTGCCAGTCTGGACAGCCCTCACAGATTCAGAGCCTTGCATCGAAGTCTCCATCGCTTGTACCTCAACACAACCCATCTGCGAGTTGCCAGGCATGAAGGTGGTAGGACCTGGCCCAGGCGCATTGAAGATGGTTGTTGAGCTGCTGGCATCTGCGACAAGGCATGCTGTAGTACTTTCAACCCTTCGGCTTATTGACATTGCAGCGTTAAGATCTTGCTCTACAGTTTAACAGACCATTATTTGGGGGGACTCTGCATCGTGATCACAGCCAGATTGGCGACTTAGCTAAGTTCACATGGACTCAAATGGTGGTTTAAAGCCACAGTGACTCCTGCATGTGGAGCTGCTGGACAGCACAAGCACTCGAGAGACCTTGCGTCGCAGCTGGGGCTGCTCCACATTTTCTTGGCAACATAACATTTGCGTTATTGCTCTGCATAAAAAGGCCAAACGTTCCGGCAAACTTTGTGACGATGCGGAAGGGTATAATATACTATGGTAGGGTCTACGTTTAAGGTGTTTCTCTGCCTTGCACGCATTGGGGAACACAGACCTGCAGTGCTCTTGCACTGCCAAGGCTGGCTTCCTTGGATTGTATCTTTTCGCAAAAGATGGAACACAGCCCTTGCACTTGGCAGGGTATTATCGGCATAGTCCACATGCAACAATTTGCCCAAGCGTGCATGCACAGCTATCCACCCCACCCCACAGGCAATGACAGGCCAGTTAATGGCCCTCGCATTCCTGGCCCTGTTCGTTGGGGCAGCGTGTGGTCACGAACAGGGAGCAAAGAAGGCGGAGGAGGGGGTGGGCAGTCTTCGTGGTGGAGGACCCTTGGTTCAGCGAAGGCAAAGGCACACATCAATCCCCGGTACGCGGTTGTCGAAATGCGGCAGCGGCAAGTGAGGTGAATGGGACGGCGGCAAAAGACCAGGGCCGGAAAGAAGCAGTCCGGTCAGTGCTGCAGTCTTTCCGCTGCAGTCGCCTGCTCTTCTGCAGTTGCCGTACGCCACAAAATCCAACAGCGAACAACCAAAGAGCTTGCGGGCACCTAGCTCAGGGCGTTAAAATCAAGAAACATGAGTCTCACTGCACAAAGTCCAGAAATGGACGACCCAACGAACCTGACACGGCCGGAGGTCCCGCGCATGCGCTTGCAGGCGTGCATGAGCAGCTGCCCTGGGACACGGGCCCCGTGGCCGGGGAGTCCTGCCCACACCACAGCGTCCGTTATCGATACAGCCAGCGCGCCCGCGTCTGCGAAGCCCTCACCAATGGCGCGCGCGCCGCGGGCGTCTGGCGCCGTCGATCGCCCGCATCGACGCAGCCTGCGATGCGCGACCGCAGGCGGGCAACGGACCAGGCGCGCATTGGGCGCCGGCCGCGCCAGGCAATAGCGCGCGAAAAATTTTCAACTCTTTCCGCGCCGCGAGCCGGCACAGAGGCGTCCGGAAAGCGACGGAAAAGTCGCGCAAACGGCCGACGACGCGATCGGCGCCCGGCGGGAAGGGGGGCGGTTCGGGCAGCACGGCCCCCGGAACTTTCGGCCCCGCGGCTCGACGGATGGATCGGTACGGTAGACGCCCCCTCCCGGGCGCCTCCCTGGGGCGCCTGGTACGCCGTCTGCCTGGGTACGCGAGACTGCAGGCTGCGCCCGCCTCGCTCGGCCCCGCGTCGCGCGGCGCCATCCCGACGGTCGTCCGAGCGCCACCGGGAGATGCGCGCGGCTGGCATCTGTGCGAATTCCCAACCCCCCGCCGTCCTCCCAAGGGCCTCCCAGGGGGCCCAATCGGCTGCGCAGGCTCCGAAAGAGCCGAGGGCGATGACACGGTACGAGATGTGTGGAAAATACCTCCGCACGGCGCTGTGCAAGGCGCGCCCCTGCCGATGCCCCCCTGGCGCAGCGCAGCCGCCGAGCCAAACCACGAGGGCGCGGCGACGGTGAAGAGCGCAGTGGACAGGGCAAGGGGGTCCGGGGCACACGCTGGCAGCCATGGGGAGGTTTCAGCCCCAGGTGTGCTTTCGGGCTCAGTATTGCCCCAAAATCGCCCTGCACAGTCGCGTCGCTCACGGGCCGATCTCGCGAGGAGGCCGTGGACCCCGCATCGACACAAAAAACCGCTGCAGCCTTGCCCCACCTGAGACCACGAGGCTGCGACTGGCCTCTTTGAGGGCCGCTCCGACTCGCAATGGAGCGCCCCGCCCGAGCAGCAGGCCAAGCCCCAGGGCGCCGGGTCGGCGTTGGGCGCCTTGCGCTTGCCGCCCACGAGGCAGCGCGGTGACGCGCCTCCCATTGCATCCATGGCCCCGCGGGTCCAAGGCGGCGGCGCCAGGGCGGAAAAAGGACAGCCGTTCCGAAAGGGGGCCCACCCCAGGGGGGTCCTGGGCTCCGCTATGCGCAGCAGACCAACGTGGGGTGAGCAGGAGCGGGGGTGGGAAGCCCTGATGCCATGCTGACAGTATGATGTCACACAAATTGCATGCTGGATCTCGTTGGGTGGGGGCCCAGCAGCGCGTGCGGCTCGGGCCGTGGAGCTGCACGGGGGGTTGAGTGGCGTTCGTTGGAAGCGCCCCCGACCGTTCGTTGTTTAGTAACGGCGGTGAAGCGTCATTGCATTCGTCGTGAAATGCCCCTTCTGATGTGCGAAATGAATGGTTTGGTGTTCTGTTGTGCTCGACTGCCGCGGTGGCGTGGTCGGGCCGCGCGGTGCGCCGTGGGATCGTCTGCAACGTTGTGCGTTTGAACGAATGGGGTGCTGGAGGAAAAAGGAGAATATGTTACTCCCCGTTCTTGTTTGCTGAATTTCGGTTCTTGTTCCGCTGACAAGGCCAGTCCCGGTGCGTGGATCAGCAGTTGGGCTTTAGGGTGTCCGAAAACAAGAACCGAAATTCAGCAAACAAGAACGGGGAGTAATTTCATGCCAGGAAAAAGAGGGATGCGGCCTCGACTGCATGTGATCCACGAACCTTGGCATGAAAGCCGCTCGAGCATCGAAACGCACAAATGTCCAGGTCCAATGCTGGGCATCGTGCGACGACTTGAACATCCTGAAGCCTGAAGCTTCAATCTTCTTCTGCCGGAGCCGCTCCCTTTCTGCTCACGCTCTTGTGGAGATCGAACGATGCGTCCAGTGATACTCCGATGGCGTGTTTGCTGACAGGCTTCCTGCACCGATCGGCGTGGCCGAAATGCTCAGCACCCAACCACTAATCGACAAAGTGTTACATCAGCGGCAATGAGACGTACCGCGCACATCAATCGCGGTACACGTGCGTCGCACGGCATGCTCCGTAAGTACTGCGTTGTGCGCCACTCATCCGCCTTTGCGCTCGCCGACAGGGCTGACGAAGCGGCGGCACGTGTGTGCTCGGCGCCCCTTGTCGCGATGCAAGGGCACCCTCTCCCACGCCGCCGCCTGGTCGCAGCTTTGCAGCTCCTCCTTGGGGCGATGGCATAGGCGCGGTGTGCGCACGCCCGGGGGCGGCTTCCGTGGAGTGCCAGCGACTGCCACTGGGCCTTTCGTAGGCAACCGGCAGCTCGACCGGCCGATTGGCTCTGTGGTTCCTTCCAGCCTCCCCTCAGCAATTCACCAGGTGGGTGGTGGCGGCGTGTCAACCGCGAACGTTGCGCCGGCCCGATTTTTGCGTTCCTGCGCGCTGTGCCGCCCTCGCGTCGCAGATAGAGTTCCTACGTCGCCTGTCCGCTCGTTGTGCACGGGAGATTTGCCCTGCCAGCCCAGAACTCTCCGGGCTGGGCGCTGCTCCGGAGAACCCTGGCCGGGCCAATCGGCCGCTCTCGCGGAGCCGCCGCGCGAGATCCGCGTGTCCGGCCGACGGCGGCGGGCTGGGGCGGTCGCCTGCGGCGCGCCGTGCTGATGCGCATGGTGCTGGGATCCCAGGCAGGCCGGGCGGGCGAGCATGGGCGCCGAGCACAAAGAGGACGGCGGGCTGAGCCTGCACGGGGAGGGGGCGGCGCGGCGCCAGGCCACGGGGGAGCTGCTGTTCTTCGCCAGCGTGGGGGACGTGGAGCGCTGCACCAAGCTCATGCGGACGTGGAACCTGAATGTGAGGGCCGGCCCTGCGCAGGATGCGGGCCGCATCGAGGGCCAATTCGGGGCCCCGCTTCGAGGGCGTTGATTGCCTTCTGGCCGAATGAGCTGCCGGCCTTGCGGATCCAGGCGCAGAGGCGCCTCGCGCGGCCACGATACGGGCGCAGTGCCATTTGATATTCCCCGCCGTGCCCGATTGTTCCTGGGCCTCACTTAGCGGGTGGGGGCCCTCCCCGAGGCGCCGATCCGTCCCGCATTGTCTGGGAGGCGATTGAATGCCGGCGCGTGCGCATGGCTGTGCAGGTGGCGGACCCAGCGTGCCACGACTACGACAGGAGAACCCCGCTGTAAGGCCTTGTACTCCCGCGCAGCACCATCCGCCTTTGAATGCTCGCATCCCTCGCTCACCCTCCTACCCCACCCGGCGCACGATGTCTGCTTGCTGCCCACCTGCCAATGCCGCCCCCATCTTGTGCTCAGTTGCCTTGGCCTGTGGGCGTCCCACACGGGCCTGGAGTCCGCGTGGATGCCGCTCAGCGTCCTGTGCTCATGTGGACAGGCACCTGGCAGCGGCGGAGGGCTGCCACTCGCTGGTGCAGTGGCTGCTTGAGGAGCACCACGTGGACCCAAACCCTGTGGACCGATTCAAGAGGACGCCATTGGAGGTAGAGCTTGTTGCTTTGCCAGCTGACTTGGATTGTGCACCATCTCCACAAGATTGCAATGAGTGTTGTACTTCAGCACATGAGGGCGCACCTGTTGTTGAGCATGCCAGTTTTTACTGCTAACATACGGCTGAGAGGAGGCAGGAACACTTGTCGTGTCCTGTCCCAATCCAGCCATCTGTGTTCTGTCAATGCAAGGTTCACGTCTGAAGATCGTGGTCTTCTTGTGGACCAAAGCAACTGTCTTTGTGCGGACAGAATCCCACACGAATCTATTGGTCAGTTCATATTGAAATTTATGACCATGTGAATGTGTGATAACGTGGTTTGGAGAAGGCCATGGAGCATGATGGCTCACAGAGGGTGTGGACAGAAGGAAAAGAATCACAACACATCTTTTGCTTGTTATGTTGTCATTGGTTGTTTGACACGAAGTGTTGAGAAGTTGCTGGCTGCCATGTTGTCATCCCACACATCAGCCACATTCAGACACACTAACCCATCTTTGCCCAATTGTGATCTCCATGATTCACAAATTTGAGGACAACGTAAATGCAGATGCCCCTGTTGTGGTGCCAATGCACTTGGACTGTTGACATCTTGTGTGTATCAGGGAAATATTTGCAACCATTGCAACAACAATGCAATGGACTGCAGTTGACACCATTGCCACAGTCAACACTACTTAGTGGATGTTGGCCACAGTGCACTTCCAGCCTGAGCAGAAAATAACTCCACTGCTGAATCGGTGCCATGGCTGGAAGCAGAGGTCCCACTGGGTGATGCTCAGTGGTGTCTCGTATTGCAGGATGCTGTGCGAGGGGACCACAAAGAAGTTGGGAGGCTTTTGATGGCACATGGGGCCAAAGTTCTTGACAGAGATGGGGTGCTTGTGGACCTCTCGGAGTCCCACCTGTCACTTAATATCAGCCTGCTTGGCGAGCACGATCTGGACATTGAGATTGACCCAAAGGACATCACATTTGTGTCCCAGTTAGGTGCGAAACTTCTCTTGCCTGCTGTGCAAATTTTGGCATGATGTAATGTTGGGCATCAGTACACGGCAGTATAGGCTGTTTGCGCCAGCGTTTTGCCTTCAGTGTTCAAGTTCCATTGCTCATCTGGAAATTCGTTAGGCAAATGGACTTAGGCTTTTGATCAATTCCAACGTGAAATTGCCTGACATTTCCTTGACAGCTGCAAGAGGGCATCATTTGGCACATTTGCAGCTGTAGCTGAAATGGGTTTTCAACTCAAAAGACTTGTAAGGATGCCACTGTGGCTGTAGCTCCTGCGGGAACGCGGGCTGGTCCTCAACATCGAGGACCTTTCATCCATGACTCATTTGCATTCACTGTTCAGAAGGGCCCCATGGCTGGTCACTTCGTCAAGGGCCAGCATTTGACCACGAGCTTGAACACAGTGTATAGGATCACCCCTATGTGCCACTCTCTAAGGCCACCTAGCCTTTACCTCTACACCACCCTGACACAATGCTGAGTGAAAAGGAAAATGGCCAACGCTGGTTGAGCCAAATGCCTTGGAATCACGCCCTTGGAAAGCAAGACTAAAGAGTTCAAAATGCTCTCAAGTCTTTACTAAGTACAGTGTAGGTCATCCAACTGCTACAAGTTCAACCAGGGCATCGAATTGTCCCATGGAAAGTAATAACAAATGAAAAGGTGCCTGAATTGAAGTAGTAGCTTGCTCCACATGAAGCTGAGGAATGAGCAACGTCAGCACCCAGTGCCCTAACACCTTGCTGCTTTGTAATGTGGAACAGGTGAAGGAGAGTTTGGCATCGTCCACAAGGCGCTTTGGCACGGCACTGTCGTGGCTGTGAAAATCCTCAAACAGCACACCACTGTGGCCCTTGGAGACTTTAGGACAGAGTTGAACGTCTTGCAGAAAGTGCACCACCCTCACACAGTGCGTATTGGCCTCCAAATCCTGGTTGGCAATTGTCTGTTAGGGGACTGCATTGTGTGTGCACACAGGAGCGACATTGCACATTGGCTGTGGCATCCCCGCCTGTATATCCATGTTCAAAACACAAATGCTGACCTGTGGCATTGTGCAGCTTAGCTGTTGTATCCCATTTCATTGTGTCTTTCAACTGTTTCCGCATTTTCTGGTGAATAGGCTGCCCGGTCACTGCTGTTCGTGCTCCAACAATGGACTGTGTGTCCGGTATTTTCTCTCCGGGGGGCAGGGCATCTGGGGTCCTGTGCACAGAAAACATGATCAGAATCCCCAATTATTGAAAAGGAGGTAGAAAACGCACAGTGTTGTCACAGAAAGCGAATGCTTCAGGAAATGTCACAACAGCAGTGTCCTGAGTTGCCGGAATTGCTTCTTCAAGCAGGGAAAAGCACGTCTGTTGTTCCAGAGCATGCCATGTCCAGTTCTGGAAAATAGATGAGCACTTTCAACTGGTCCCAATTTGTTGACGCTTCTTGCCAGGTACACACGGAGGTGTTGAGGCCCCATGATGCAAGGTTCCTCCTTGTTGCCAGAGGCTAGAAAAGCAGAACGGCCACATGGCCATGCGATCGTGTGCAGTGTGAGGCTTTTCAAACCTGGAACAAGACACCACCTCCCTAACATGGCCCCCATGCAGAACAGCTGACACAGTGGAAGGGGGCAGCATGTGGACTCTTTTGTGATATTGAAGTGTGAAGTACTTCTGATTACTTCACATTTGCAAGAATCTAACTGCTTGTATTGTTTTGTACTTGTCAACTATTTCTCATTCTTCAGGTATTTCTGGAATAGAAGGAAACGCTCCCGCTTGACATGGCGTCTTTTCCCTCTGTCTGCAGGTCCAATTTCTTGGGGCCGTGACCCGAAGCCAGCCATTCATGATCGTCACAGAGTTCATGGCGGGGGGCTCCCTGAGTGACGTCTTCAAGTCCGGCATCAAACTCTCAAATCAGCGGTCTGTGGAGCTGGCCCTGGACTGCGCCCGGGGAATGTCCTACCTGCACAGGCGCTCGCCCCACTGTGTCATCCATCGCGACTTGAAGCCCGCCAACCTGATGGTGGGGGGCCACTCGCTGTCATCTTCCTCTGGGGCTCGCCGAATGATCGTGGAAACAGGCTGCGTGAAGATCGCCGACTTTGGCCTGTCCAGGTCCATCAAGACAAAGCTGTACACACGGCACGCCCAGAGGGACCTTGAAGACATCAAGGCAGCAAGGGCTCTGGGTAACAGGATGATGTCAAAAGACAGCCTCAGTGAAATGACAGAGACCTACCAAATGACAGGTGACATTCTCACTTCTCCTGGATTTGCAAATATGTGATAGATAACCTCGATTGCGTTTCGAATGAATATCGTGTACATTCGGCCTCAATGACATTCGTCTTCAGAGGAAAACGTATTGCTGGCTGTCTGCAATGTTGAGGATTTATGTCACTTATTGTGTCCAAGATGTGAAGGGTGTTTAGCAGCAAACTGCTTGAAAGGTGTTAGGTTTGAAACAGTATACTGCATCTTGACAGAGACGCATGGCCCAGATCAGACAACATGTGACAGCTGTCGTGCAGATGCAGTGTGGAGTCTTTGGTCATGGCCTTGATTGTAAAGAAAGTGTTTCCGGAATTCCACTGGCCCTGCATTTTTGTGAAGTAGAGCCTGGGCAGAAACGTTACCTCGGACGATGGTTTGCCTAACGATGGGCCATCGACTGCCACTGACTTGTTCGCTGTCTGGCAGGCGAAACGGGCTCCTACAGGTACATGGCCCCAGAGGTGTTTCGCCACGAGCGCTACAACAGCAAAGTGGACGTGTACGCCTTCGCCATGATCTGCTACCAGCTCTTTGAGGGGCTGCCCCCCTTTTGGGAGTACGACCCAGTCATGGCGGCGAGGGCTGCTGCTGTCGAGAAGCAGCGCCCCCTGTGGGGCTACGTCTCGCAGCATGGCCAAAGGATCCCGGATAAGATGAGGAAGTTGATCGAGGACTGTTGGGCTGAGGATTTCGAGAAGCGGCCAGACTTCGGGGAGATCACAGAGCGGCTGCAGGACATATGGAACGATCTGGAGAAGAAGAAATCCGACAAAAGGGGCAAGTGCTGCTGTGTGCAGTGAACTTGTGGTTTGCCTTTGGTAAAGTTAAAAATTGTTTGCCTTTTCGAACGATGCCTGTGTGACCACGCCTGGAGGACTTGGAACGACTGGACCAAGGTGCGGGCCCAATTCATACCTGATTCATGCTTGACGGGATGCCTTCAGTGAGTGGGACAGATTGTTGGGAGGGAATGCGGGTGTTACATAATTGCGCTAGGCGCTCTTTCGTGGCAAATAAGGTCTGGCTGCAGGCGGGTGTAGAGCCCCACGGCACGTGGAGCGTGAATTCGCTGTTGGACGAATCGCTGCATGTTGTAATGTCCTGTAAATTTGTATGCGGCCCCTGGTAATTCTTTTCGGCTGTTGATTTGCATAGAGCATGGCACAATGCAGAATCTCCACTGTGGGTGTTTGTGTGTGCCATCGAACGGCGCTGGTAGCCAGCATTGTTCCTGGATGAGCCGCCTCATGAACAGATTGTAATATAATTAACTATCCTGTTAATGAGTTTCTGCGAAGGGCGACGATTGGGAGGGCGCGTAACGGCCAGGTTGGGCCGTTCCGCCCACTGGACAGTTTGGGGCCATCCAATAGCCGGTTTCTGTCACCCCTGTACTCGGGGTCAGTGCTGCCCGACGTATCCAAGGGAGCTTGGGTGGATCTTTGTACCTTGGGCGCGGCCAAGGGGACCGGTCAAGCTGGCCCTTGGGTTTGGCGGGGAGTTTGGCGGCAAGTGGGAGTGCTATTTCAGGCGCGACCCTTGGCGCCCCCCTTATCTTGTTTCGCTTCGCGCCAACACCTTTGGCACAACCCGGAACCACCGAGTGGTTCGACCCTCCGGCCTCCGCGCCGAGTCCTTTCTGTATGAACCCCAGCCCTGCCGACCAGTGGCTGCGGGCACAGGCGCTTCGTTTCAACCAGCGCCTCCCTGACCGTCCTATCGAGGTTACGTGGGTTTCAGACCCCTGGTTACTCCCCCGCTCAGTCAACAACCGCGTCGCCAGGCCGGACTTTACGTCTTTCCCGGCCTGGTTCGACGTACGGGAGACCGGCCAGGGTCAAACCGTCGCCGCGGCCTTGGGACCCAACTCCGGCTACTTCCAGGAGTACGCGAGCTGGGCGCTGTGGGTCGCGTGGCAGTTCGACTACACGGCGGCCTTCGTGGACCTGGTCGCCCACCCGAGTCTTCCGCCTTCGATCCGCGATCTACTCCTGCCGTACGTCTACGCCTCGGTGGCCATTACCGAGCGGCAGGTCGACCAACTGCGCCTCCATCAGGTGCACGCGAAGCATCGCGGCACCGGGCTCGAGGGATCCTGGCGGGCACTGCAGGCCCAGATCCGCCTCAGCGAACCCGAAGGCGGCTTCACCACCGAGACCATCGACGGGACGTTGGGTGCCATCCGCAAGGAGCTCCTCACCCAGGAGGTCAAGCTTGCGACCAAGGCGGCCGCGGCCAGTCGGGCATCCAAGGCGGGGAGCAGCGATCCCCCTTCCCATTCGAGCGGCCAG